AATGTACTGAACTTCTGAACTTTCGGGAGATTTACTACTGACTTTAAGTAGATCCATTAGTCATTGCCCATGAATGACAGAAGCTGATGCCATTAATGCTTCATTTTTTGTACTGTGAAGTATCGTCCTTCCAAAATCTCTAGACTACAAAGGTCTAGAAATATGTTGCTTGTTGGATCTAGATTCAAAGGAAAAGTTTAACCTGACTGGTAGAACTTTCAGGTATTTTTGGCTACTTTCACGTCAATATGCAGGATCTGAACCAGCTGACAGAGGTTTGACGCAATTAGGAAAATTAGTGAAAACTACCATTAGAGGTTTAGTAGACCTCTGATAAAATGGTCAGGCATCTCTAGGACCTGGTATGATTCGTTAACATGAATTTTATAAGACCATCTGCTGTTGGCCATCATAGGTTAATATTTCTTGACTGCCCACATGACTTTGCAGGCCTCAGGACAATAATTCCTGTTTGAGGTATTAGGCTACAGAAAAGTCTCGTTGAAGTTAACGAAAGCAATTACCTGTTTGCTCACTCTGACTGGAACATCTTTGCCAAGATCTATTTGGAAATTCAGGGTCTGAATGACCTATAACCTAGAAATATGAGCATCAGTTTTGCATCCTTTCTAAAACCTCCTAGTAACTCTTTGCTGCTATTTATTAAGTATGAATCATTTATAAATTGAGCACGGTTTTAAGTCATATGGAATAGCACTTGTTTGTTTCAGAATATTTTGGGGTTTTCATGTTCGACAACAAAAATTTCATAAGCAACTATATTTCTTTAACATTTCTTTGGTATACTTTGGAGCTCAAGTTGGGTGACTTTCAGGGTAATAAAGTTGGGGGGGGTGTTTTTTTGTTTGCTTGGAGCTGGTTTTTTTAATTCTTCATAATCAGAATTCTTGCTGCCAAAGCAAACATTGTTACAAAAATTACATGAAAAATGAAAAAAAACAAACCCAAACTTTCAAACTAATGAGAATATAAAAGATCTAGTGGTATATCTGAAAAAAAATCGTCCTATTCTTTACTGCAGGTTTGTTGTTATAGAATATTAGACTTATGCTTTTCTTATATTTCAGTTACGGAATAAGCTATTTGTCAGGGCCTTGTGGGCCTGACAGAATTATACTGGTAGAAATTCTGTTACTGGCCAAAATAAATAAATCTGATATTATCTGGTGTTTGAATAGCTTTATCTTTTACAACTCTTATGATTTAATGTTGTGAAACAAACATCTGTCATCCTTTATCCGATAAAAGAACTGATATTCTGATACAGGTTTTTCTGCTTGTATGTTGTTCTTATCTATGTTCTTCGTAAGAAAAAAAACATTTTTCTCATTAAAAAATTTCTGCAAGTTTATGTATGTTTGCTCTGAAATTTTGAAATACCAGAACAATTTCTCTGTATGGTCAATATCTGTTATATCTGGACAAAATAGTTTTCTTAAATACCTGATTTTGTACTATTGCTTAAACACACATCAAGAAATGCATGAATCTGCTCTGATCAGAAGTCACTAAAGAATATTAGACTGGCTTGTATTTTTCCTATTCTTTTTAAAACTCTGAACATCCAAGCCTAACAAATACCACACAGAGAAGTCAGCTGTGTCGTATTATCCTGTACTATTATCCTGATCTTCATATGGTAGTGTAAAAGTTAACTTTACATAAGTAAAGCCTAAAAGCCTGCAAAGCCCGAGACTAAAGAATCCGTCAGAGTTAAAACATATATTGCTTTCACAAAGATTGTAGGCGAATTGGCAGATGAGCTCACTGTGTAAGCCATGAGAGCTGGATAAATGCAGAGCCATGCGGTACTGTGTTTCACAACTCAGGCTCTGTCTACCCAATATGGCGAAGGAAGTATTTATAAGAGTAGCCTCTTGTCTTGTCAAAACCTTTCTGCTGGATTTCCAGAGCAGCTGTGCAATGTTTTGTGCTTGATAGTTTGAACAGTAAGTTCACTCCAGCTGGTGGAAATGAATATCTGCAGTTTATCAAAGCACTTTGCTGTAATATAAAGTACTTGGAAGCTTTTATTTATCTAAACTAGTATTTTTTGTATACATATATATAAAAAAAAAAGCTGGCCTTTAAGTATGAACCCTGAACTCTAGAAGTGTGTCTTTGATCACTTTGTACAGGAAATCTTTGAATAAGGGTGCTTCTTGTCTTCTCCTCAGCTGTTGGTAGCAAATATACCTAAAATCCTTCTCAAAGATCATCAGGAAAGGTCACATCAAATAAACAGAAATGAGATTTGTCATCATGAGAGGTGACATTTTACTTTGCATAAACAAATTACAACTCTGGCTTTATAATCTGCCCCTTCCGATAAGGGGCTTTGTTTTAGCCACTGCCTCTGTTGGATGCTCTTCTGCCAGCATACTGGAGAGCAGCAGTCTTTAGGTGGATAACACATAAGGCTGTTTAGGATTTTACATGTCAAAAGAGCTTAGATTCTAGTACCCAGTAGCTAACTAAAGCAGATCCAGAAACACTTATGTCAAGGACTTTCAGAAAGGTGTAGTCCTTAAGAGACAATCTGCTGATGTCTCCATCAGACTGTTTCTCCGTAGCTGTGGGTAAACCTTCCTTCATTAGTTGGAAGCAGTTGACAGGAATGTAGATGGTACTTAGAGAGACTTCTGAAACAGTGAAAGGGCAGTGCATTGGTGGGTAGGCCACCGACCTCATTCATTTAGAAGCAGCAGAAAAATTGAAACTGAAGCAAACAGTCAGAATAGTCAGGTTGTGAAAGTAACACAGAGGAAAGTTGAAAATAGAGGGAAGAGTTGTATTTGATTACTCTCAGGCCCTTCCAGCAGACCAGTTTAGAGCTGGGATTAAGCCAGTGATGGAGGAAAGAAAGGACATGAAAAATCATAGTATTATTGGGTTTATACTTGCATTTAACTGGTTTAAAAATGCAAATTAGTAGTTTTCAGTATTTCCATGCTGTCTTTTACACTTGTACTTCCTTATCTGACATAACATGATATCCAGTCAGTGAAAAAAATGCCATTCCATTTGTAATTTTTATAAGATTGTCTGAGATTAAGCTGTGATTATGTAAACTATGTAATTATTATGGATATCAATTCTATAAATTGTATTTTTTAAATACAGTACATGACATTTTCCTCTTAATGTTTAAAAAAAAAAACCAAGTGGATCTTTTTTTTTCTCCAATAGAAAAAACAAAAGAATATTTTGCGGATAGGAATTCAGAGTCTGGGTTCCGTGTTGTGGGGTGATGACATTTGTAGCAGTGATACTCCTGAAGATATTCATAGCCTTACAAAATTTCTGTATATTCTCCGTGGCCTCCTCAGAAAATCTTTGTCAGCCTGCATCATCACAGTGCCTGCTCACCTTATCCAGGTAGGAATGCTGTCTTTGCTATATTTCATAGCTGACACATGAGTTAGCAAAAATTTAAAGTTTATGGTAAGAAAATAAATGCAATTTTGGACATTTTGAAAACACTCTTTGTTCAAAAAGCAAAGTTAAAATATAATTTCACCTTAGCGTTTCTATGCTTCTGTGGGACAGTCATGCTGCAAAATCTACAAAGACCTCAGCATAAAACCATCTTAGATACAGTTATGCCTTATGTAGGTCTTAGTCTTTTTTGAAAAACTATCAAAATTTCGGAAACTGTAAAAAAAGCAGAGAATCCTGCTAGTAATCTGTTGGGTTTTGGTTGGGTTTTTTTGCAGTGTCCCTAAGCACTTTTCCACTGCCTTCAGAACGCTGATTAGAGTTTCAATACAAGATTTCAGTTCACTGTCTTCATCTGTCATGCTCATTATGATGATGTGTGATCTTGTTTTTAAAGCCAGGAATTGAAAGATACGGGTTTACTCTTTACTTCTAATATCCCCTTGTATTGGGACCAGAAACAAAGGAATTATGGTATCAGAGTAATTTTCCCAACTGCAAAATCAGAAGCTGGTAACAGCACGTTTCCTGAGAGTATATGGAGACTTAAATGTGTGTTCTGGAAATAAACTTTTTTAGCAAAAGGAAAAATGTAGATAGTCTTTTTTTCTGCAAGTGGTAATGTAACTTACAAAGGCAAAATTATTATTCACAATGAGCAGAGAACCTATAATTTTAGGTATAAATTTGATTTGATTATAGTAAAAAAGTACTGGATAAAACCTCATATTAGGCAAAATGTTTTCATAGTAGATGAGTTTATCGTTAGATTAAATGCTAACTTAGGTAAGTACATGACTCTCACTTATGTATTGCATTTTGTAAAGGTGTTTGAATACCTGCAAATGTTATTTATCTGGACACCTGATGCACTTACTGCTTAAAAAATAAAGAAAGAAACTTGATTTTCTATTTTTACCATCGCAATCAAAAGTCTATGAATGCCTCTTGCAGTGCAAACCTCCATTTCCTTACTTAACTATTTTAAATATTAGATGGCAGTTTGCCTTCAAAAAGTTTGACAGTAAAATTTAATGCAATGAATAGGATTTGTGAATGTAAAACTAGCATCATTCTTTTTACACATTGGAATTATCTGTCCATAATTGAGACATACAATTGGTTTCATTGTACTCTTTTTTATATATGATGTCAATTAAAGATATGATCATATTTTAGAGAAGAAGTCCAGAAACTTCTGTAAGAAACAAACTGAAAGACAAAGTTTTTTGTTTGTTGCAAACTTACCTGGGAAGTTGATTTTGGCTTTGTGTTTATAAATTCCATATAAATCAATTTCCATGGAGTTACTATTGAAATTATATGTCATTTTTTAAATAACTGATTTTTTTAATTTTAACAGAATTGTTTTACAGTAAGTGCTAGAATTTCTGAATAAAAAAAAAAGAAACATTATTTCCAGAATCTTTGCTTAGCAGCCTTAAACAAATGGGAGCATTAAATTTTTTTTGAAATTGTTAAACTTCATGTATCCTTCTTTAAGCACTAACTACGGAGAAAACTGTCATTAGGAGGAGCAAAGCTGCTGAGGGTTCCTTATACCCCACATTACTCAGTTCCCAGAGCCCTGCTGTGTAGTTGTTCCACTCTCCAAGAAGCCTGTTAAAGAGCCCCTGAGAGCATGTGTACAGCCCTCCATGTTAATAGTTAATTGGTGAGGATGGCAAGATGAGAGGACAGCCGAACATGTGGTCTCTCAGGCTCAAGCCGTAGACAGACCTTTAGTTATAATAACAGCAGCTGCTCACATTCTCACAACCCAGCTACTCACCATTCTGTTGCTGAGGTTTCTTGCTGGATTAAAAAAGTAAAGAAAATATCTTTTCTTTCCAAGAGAATAAGAGAGGGATTTTTTTCCAAGTGCATTTCTGTATGTGTATTTAATTTGATCAGAGTAAGTTCTAGCATGTGCTTTCTCTGTTCGATCTTAAAGTCAGTACACTGAAGGCATAGAAAATGCACACTATTTTTCTGAAGATGTAGTAAATTCCACATTTATTCCCTGAATTACTGTTTCTGTATATTCTATGTTATCTTTTGCCTCCCAACTGTATTCATTAGGTGGTCTACAAGTAAATTCTTTAATTCTTTGCATGAATAATTTCCATGAAGGTAAATATAGGTTCAAAATCACATTTTAATCAAAGTTCTGTCTGCATAACATGTACAGAAAAATAGTTTCATTTTTACCTGCTTTGTCTTGAAAAAATAGATTTTTAGTCATGACTTATACCATATCTTTTCTCTGTCAGTAACAACTCCAGTACTAGTTACTCCAGTGAGGAAGAAATAAAATTCAGAATTGGCGGTACTGATTTTCAACAGGGATGATGTCTTTCCAACCCAGACTAGTTATAGTTTTATACATAGTGTATGAAAAATGCATATATATATATATATGGTATATATATGTATTTGGAATATATATATATAGTTTGAGATTGGTTTCTTTTATATATTTTGCCAAATACTTTGCATGTTGTACTGTGACAGGGAGTTCCACAAATTCAATCTACCTGGTTTCTTTCTTTTTCAGAAAGTTTAATTTTGCCTTTACTTTTCATAGGTGATATCATTGTTGTTGGGTGATGAGACAGTAAGATGAGGCTCCCTATATTATCTTTTCTATATTCTGGTTTTGTATTTTTTCTCATGCTGCCTCCTTAATATGTTTTTAAACAGTCACTTTTCTTTTAGTCATATTTTACTTTGTTACAGTAATGTAATACAATAGTGCTATTATTGTTTGTGCACTTTTCCTATGTTCTAATGTCTGCTTTGTCTCTTTGATGACTACTGAACATTAAACAGTGATTTGGTTCTTGATGCTTTTTCCCTCTGTGGTACACATCCACCAATGTGGCCCTTTCATTATTCCAGCCATTCATTGTCTTGGATTTAATAACTTTGAATTGCATTTATCCAAAGATGATGCTCGTTCACCCAGTTTGATGGGACACTGAATGTCTTCACAGTTTTCTGTAAGGCTATATTTTGGTAAAAGACACAAATTTACAAAAGATCTGGTTGTATACAGGGTTTTCTCAGAATAATTTAAAGAAATTGTAGTCCACTAAAGAACACAGAGTCTGTGTTTTATTGATGAAACTTGTAGTGCAAACAGTGCATGAAGAAAAAAGAAAATTCTCTTTTCTTAACCACAAAAATAAGAATACATTATTCTGGAAGAGGATTTCAAGAAAATGACACTAAAAACTTATCCAATTATGAATTTTATTCAGATGATGTGTGACAAGTTTTACTTGATTGATATTTTCTACCAATTGAATATACTCTTATCTTACACTGTCTGTCAAGTAATAAATATTGAGATACTTATGAGTATGATTAAAGTAGTTGATGGAAGGTTATTTTTCAAGTCTTTCTACTGCCTCTTGAAAATGCATTGTGCCTATGAAATCAGGTGAAGCATTTGAAAAGGGAAAATTACTTCCATTTTTAAAAACTAGCATTGATCAAGGAGGGCAAACTGAAGAGAGATTTTTGCTTGTTGTTACACTTTCTAAATTTATGGAATATTATAAAAACAAGTAAGGACTTTTTCTGTATGTTGACAATCTGTGCAGTTTAGTACCTAATTAAAAAAAAAAACACAACTTTTTGTGCTGCAGAGTGTGACTTAAAGGACTTTAATGTCACAGTTTTATACTTGCAGAAGTCCTAAATTAGAATTCAAAATATTTTCCTGTTGTATTTTCTTCTTTTTCTTTAATTGCTAGAAATCATTGGTAAATCCAAAAACATCTTTCCTCCAAAATGCTAAATAATGTTCAGAATTCTGTTCCTGTTCTTCCCAATTTTGTATCACTTAATATTTTTTGAGTAGATTATTATTTTCACTGGGAGAAAGCGTAACACTTTTATTAAAGCCATCCTTTGTTTTGAACTTGAAGCTGTGTTACTAGAAAGGACTAACAACCATATTAGTCAGCATGTACCAAGGGAAATTAATTGACTAATGAAAAGTCAGTATGAATAAGTCTTGTTACAGAACCTATCCTCAGAGTCTGAAGTTCTGTTTAGCAAGGTATTTTCATTATTTCATCCAGTATGTATAAAAAATTAATTTCCTACAATATTAATGTGTTGATGCTTTGAATTCACTGAAGTGCATAAGTTACTGTATGTTTCAGTGTAGAAAAATTCAGAAACAAACCTTTTCACATCCATTGCCTTTTGTGTTCACACTGAGTAATTTAGCAGCTAAACTAGAAGTCGAGCAATAGAGTGCTTTAGAATCCATTGCTAATGTAGGATTATAAGATGTGAACTCCTATAGCTTGTGAATTTCTCACAGTTTGAAATCTTTATTCCTATGACAAGAGCTAAGAGTGATTGCCTGCCTTAGAACTCATAACTTCTGAGAGTTCACAAGTGTAAAATGCTGAATAACCTTCAAATGTATTTGATGAGGTAGCTGCTGCACACAAATTTGTATTGAGATCAAATGTCAGGTAGTCTCTGTATCATAGTTAAGCAAGCTTTCAAAATTCTCTGCAAAATAGAAACGATGAAGTTGAAATGGTCTTTATATTTTTCTGTACTGGGGCTTTTTTACTTGCTTTTTAACATTGCTTTTTGTTGTATGTGAAAAATACGGTTTAACAACCATACAAAGAAATATTCAGAGTCAGGAGTTTATGAGAGGTATTCTTGGGTTATCCACATAGTTTTCAGATATGACTCTTCTGGTTTGGATATTCTAGACATTCATGAAAGCATCTTTAAAATTATGATCGAGTAGGAAGCTCAGAGAAGGATGCAATTCAAAATTTAAATTGTGGGACAGTAAGTAGTTTTTTTTTAATTTTCTATTATTGATGATATTTGCTAATCAAGTTGCAGAAAAAATAGAAATATTTTGTTGTTTCATAAAATAAGTTTATGGTTGCCAACAG